CGTTCTGGAGGTTACATGGTTCGAGACTGAAGGAAACCAGCTGCCATAACGGGAGAGTGGTAGATAGGAACCGGAACAGGAACAGGAACAGGAACAGGAACAGGGACGCCAACACGACATGGCGATCGAGGAAGAACTTTTGTTCTGTTGAGAACGGACGGGCAATAATGTGACTGCGAAGAAAGAAGAGTATAAAGACCCTCACCACCATCGTCAAGATCGTCACCGTTTTCAGGTCCCCCAGCCCCAACCAGCTCCTCATCCCCATTCCTTACTCCTCAGTCTCTTTCCCTCTCTCTTTCGTCACCTCCTCCGTCGTCACAAAATGAAGACGTCCACCTTCTTGGCGGCCGTTACGGCCCTCGCCGGCACCGTTGCTGCCGAGTCCATGGCCAAGCTGAGAGAGCTCAAGATCGACACCTGGGCCCGCCAGCAGGAGGTCGGCGCCTACGACATTGACCGCTACCAGGCTACTGCCGCCACTTCGTGCGTCAACGGCAAGGCGGGCGAGTACCAGTGCAGCAACGTCGATTTGAAGGGGTTCCTCCGTCATCAGGACATGGGATCGTCGACAAGGAAGGGCAATGACATCTGGGGTGAGTTCCATCAGTTGCCCCCTATCTCCCTCTCCCTCTGACAACCCGAGTTCGAGTATATGATACTGATGCTGATGCTGACGATGTGACGTGAAAGGCTGGACCGCCCCCAACGGCCGTGAATTCGCCACGGTCGGGCAAACCGACGGCACCGCCTTCGTCGAGCTTCTCTCCGACGGCTCGCTCGTCTACCTCGGCCGCCTACCCACACAAACCACCTCTTCCTCCTGGCGCGACATGAAAGTCATCGGCAACCACGTCTACATCGGCTCCGAGGCCTCCAACCACGGCCTACAAGTCTTTGACCTCACCAAGCTACTGGACGTCGACCCATCCTCCCCCAAAGTCTTCTCCACCACCTCCGACCTGACCGCCATCTACAAAGGCTTCGGGTCCTCGCACAACATCGTCGCGCACGAGGAGACCAACATGATCTACGCCGTCGGCACCGCCGCCTCGGCCGGGTGCAGGGGCGGTCTTTTCATGGTGAACGTCACCAACCCTGCCTCCCCCGTCAAAGCCGGCTGTCTGTCAGCGGGCGGCTACGTGCACGACGCGCAGTGCGTCATCTACAAGGGACCCGACACCCGCTACACCGGCAAGGAGATCTGCTTCAACTTCAACGAGGACACGCTCGATATCGTGGATGTGACAAGCAAGTCTTCCCCGAAGACGTTGAGCTCCAAGACGTACAACGGAGCGAGCTACACCCACCAGGGCTGGTTGGTTGATAGTAGCATGAAGTACCTGTTGCTGGATGACGAGTTGGATGAGTACTACGGCAACGGCAATGCGTCGAACAAGAAGACGACTACGTACATTGTCGACATTAGCTCGCTTACTGCTCCTACTTTCAGCGGTATTTACCAGAGCCCGGCCACTTCGATCGATCATAACCAGTATGTTGTTAAGGGGCTCAGCTACCAGAGCAACTATGGGTCTGGTCTGCGTATCGTCGATGTGTCGAGTATCCCCTCCAAGCCGGATGGGTCGGGCTTGGAGCAGGTTGGCTTCTTTGACTGCTACCCTGAGGATGACAGTTACGGTGGCCGGGCTGAGTTCACGGGTTCTTGGTCTGTGTATCCCTTCTTCAAGTCGGGATATGTGCTCCTGAACAGTATTGAGCGCGGTGTGTTCAGCTTGAAGTATACGGGTGCTGGTGCTGCGTTTGCGTCTGAGTGAATTGGGAGGCGGAGTGAACTGGCTGCTGTCCAGTGTTTTGGGGGGAGAGTTCGTCGACGGGTTGAAGGTTGTTTTGGATACGTTGAATGACTGTTACATAAGCGAAAAGCGCATGGTGAATAAATGACAATTGAAGCACTGTAGCGTGACTGACATGTGTGGAAATGTGGTGAATTTCGAGTGTCCGTACGTCTGTGAAAGGAATTAGGTCAACTTTCCCTGCACTTCTGTTTTGGGCCTGTCTGAGTAACAAGACGTGAAAGAATCTTTCCGCTGAGTGTCTGCATCACTGACCGAGTAAGATGTCCGTTCAGATCTTATTCCCAATAGGCACGGCTAGAGCTAAGGAATATGGTCCAGCCGTGAGTTGCAACTTGCAGTTACACGGAAGGCAGTGCGGGTCACGCTGTCCGGCAGGAAACAAAGAGAAAAAGTGGCGGTCATATATATATCAGGAACAAGAATGCCACCCGGCCTGGCTATGACACGAGGGGACAAAGGATGGGGAATGGAACAATGGACAGACAGAATGTTGTCTATAGTAATTGACCTTCAGAATATCAAAATGGAATTGCGGAAAAGGAGGTACAACAAATTACTGAAATTTCTTTCCACCGGGGAAGGGTAGTCGCGTGGCGATAGTAGGAGAGAAAATGAAAATCTGCTTACGGCCATGACATTGAACCGGTAGCATTAACTGGTTGCTCGTTGGTTAACGGTCGCTATCCGTACAAGCCGCCCGTCCGTTGCCGGAAAATTTCGTCGTTTGCTCATATGCATCGCAGAAAACCCCGATGAAGGATACTGGAGTCACGAAAGCTGAATCTTTCATCTCCCTCACGGGATCTGTTGGCTTTGCCGCTCAGATAGAAATAGACATGTGCGGATGAGGGATGGCCAGCTTATAACTGGAAACTTGCCTGCTCCTGGCACGAGTCAATACCCATTGTCTCCTAGGGAAAGAAACCGACCTGAATAGGCTCTGAATACCGCCTTGTTCCCGTAATACCATGTTGGAACACCCGTGGCCACGATGTATAAGATGTATTGATGCTTTCCATCCATACTCCGGGCTTCCTATAGCAATCGTCAACAATTTCAATCTCTTGACCTCACTCACTAAGCAGTAACTCACCATGCTGCCAACAAACCTAAGGTCCATCCTCGCCGTCATTGCCGTAGTCGCTACAGTCTCGGCAAATCCCTATCCGAAACTCGTCGGCTGCGTCGATGTCGTTGACATCAATACAGGCAAAGTCACTGACTGCGTACCAATCGGCCAATTTCCGAACGGCCAAGATTCCAACCAAACAAAATACCAAAGGCAACACGCCAGAAGGAGAGCAGCCAAGGAAAATAACCTCTGCGTAAACCTCAAGTTCAACAACCAGTCCCCTTCCGCCAATGGCCCCAACCAAAACCGCTGTGTCTCCTTGCCCACCCTCCGCCAGCTCCAAACAGACTACCAGCACCAACAATCCCTTAAACCGAGAGACACTGATGACACGGACGCCTCCAACGAACCCTGCCTCGACATCTACTACCTCTCTCCCAAGGACAACACCACCATGACCGGATCCTGCATCCCCATCTCCGACCTCGACAAATACCAAACCGTCACCATCAACCCTTCTTCAGACCCCCCTTCTGACGGCTCCCCAGAGTCAAACGATCCCTACGCCGCTGACTCATCCTCGCCCCTCTCCAACCGCGACTTCGGCCCCGGCGTCAACTACACCTTCTGCACCGAGCCCTACGACGTGATCCCGCACGAATCCCCGCACTTTCTCGACTGCGCCATGATCCCCGCCAACGCGCTCGGGCGCAGCCGCTACTTTACCTATCGCGCGTCCATCACGGATTCGTACACTTTGCTGACAGCCAAGACGTGCGAGCTTGTCCTCAGGACGAGGGGCACCGTGGTGAACAAGGGGGTGGTCCTCAAGATTGGCAATACGGATATCAAGCGGTCGTATCTGTATGGAATCAAGGCCATCATTGATTCGCCGGATGGTGCGGCTGGTAAGCAGGGGCTTTGGATGGTGCGGGGGTTTGAGGTGGAGGGCAAGTGGAAGTGTTGGAATAATGCGGAGACAAAGCGGTATCAGGTGTATTTTGGGTATAAGTTGAAGGGGAGCCAGCGGGGGTGGTGGGACGGGATTGCGAGTTGAGGGAGTGGAGGGAGTTGTGTAGTACCTTGGAGGGGGCTGGAAGAAGCTCGAGATGGTGGAAAGGGTGGGAAGAAATGGGAAGAAATGGGAGAGCAGAGGTTGATGCCATTACGCGAATTTGATGTGGAAGAGGGAAGGTGGGGTGGATTGAAGGAAAGAAGAAAAGGCATGATGTACAGATAATGAGTTCCTTACGTCCGTCATCAGGTAGCTTCAGATGTTAGATAACCTCTTCACGATTATTTTGATCACTGTATTCACGTACCAGGAATTTGATAACTCCTTTCCAGCAACTTTCGACAAATTCAAGTATCAGTAAATCCCCCCTCACTGTCTGACTGACTCCTCACTCTTGTTAGTGTTCAGAGCATGGTTGGTGACGGAGTGAAAGAACCCCGTTCGTACCTTCCTCCAAGCCCAGGGAATGCTGGATCCACCTTGACAAGGGAAAGTCGATCACTGAATCAGAAATTGTTCAACTGTAGTGTACTTCCATCCTGCTGTGGTCAGTTGAACCTTCACAATATCCTGTTCAAATGACGTTTGGGCTGCCAACAAGTCGGACCATCGGGATATTCTCAATCATCAGCAGTAGTCCAATCCCGCCATCTCATCAAGCCCATGTGAACATTCCACCACACAATCTCAAGACACGGTACCTGGTCATCCGGACGAACGCCCATATGTTGCCTTTTAGATCTCAAACAATGGACTTTGAACCGTCTCCGACAGTCTTTGTCCACTCCTGAGCCACCCGCTTCCCGTCCCGCTCGATGCCGCTCTTTCCATAGTTCCTCCACCCAAAATAACCACAATCCTAAGACTTCAAGTCAAAGGCAATGTTAGAATCCTGTTCAGCCATGTTCAAGGATAAAACCCTCTGGCAGGAACCTCCTTTCCCGAGAGAATGGTCTATTCAGCTGAACAACCTTCTCGTCCGCAACCGCATCAGAGGCCCCTGGTCCTACTACCGCACCGACACTCATTTGACAAACGTACAAAGAAGCCATACCAAACCCTCAATCTGACCACATTTCTCCACGAAAAAAAAATGCAGCTCCCAACTAACCTCCTCACCTTCCTCCTCACCACCTCCAGCTTCCTCTCCCTCATCACCGCCACCCCCATCGCCACGCCCTCCAAACAGTCCGCCAGCAAAACCAACCCCATCAACTCCTCCATCCCCGCCGACGACCCTAACACCAACCACATCCACACCGAAACCGAATCCGACCCTTCCGACCCCGCCATCGCCTTCTTCTCCTCTCTCCCCCCTCCCAGTTCCCCACCAAACATCTCACCCAACCCCTCCTCTCCCACCACCACCGGCCTCGTCCGTCCCTCCAAACGCTCAGGCAACAAAGACCACTGCCGCGGCGGCGGCTACTTCAACGCGACCTCCGCCGGCTCTCCCCTCGTCGACGACTGCAAGGTTATTATCCAAAACATTTCCCCTCGCGGAGGCACCTGGCACTACATGAGCGGCACGCAGCGGACGTTGGTCAGTCACGGGTCGTGTGCGCTGGGAATCGAGAGCACGCCGGACGTGCCCAAGGGGTTGCAGACGTTGGTGGGCGATTTGGATATTAGCGAGTGGATCCAGAAGAGTATCGACAAGTATCAGTGGAAGGGGAGGGTGGGCAGTTATGGGGATACGCAGTGTGTTAGTCAGACGTTTAAGGGGGATGAATATACTTTAAGATGGGGGTTGTATCATTCTTGAGGGTTGTGAGGGGAGGGAAAGAAGGAGAGGAAAAAAAAGAAGGGGGGGTAATATGGAAGGAAGGGGGTTGTGGAGGGGGAGGGATAAAGGGGTAAAGGGAGGAGAGGAGTGGTGGTATGAGTTTTCTTCTTCTTCGTTGTCATTTTGGTCTTAACAATGTTTCTATAACGCCGTTTAGTTTTCTTCTTCGTAATGAGAGGCCAGCCTTACTTCTCAATCTCCTTTTTGTTCTCCGTTAAGAAATGAAGAGGCACCTGGAGCCCGTCAACTTTTTTGTTCTACCTTGGTCGTTTTGCATTTTCCGTTACACACCGGAGGGAGAAGGTGGTTCCAAACCACTTTAGAAAATATATATACCCTTTTCATATTGCTGTCATCTACTCAGGGTCTCACAACGTTGACTGCCACTTTCTCTCTCTCTTCTTTTTTTTTTCTTTTTTTTTTTTCTTTTTCTCCGTTTTAAACCATTAACCAATGAAGATAATGTAATAATAACGCCGCAGAGTAATACTGACACTCGCCTCAACTGACGCTGGGAATGATGCGCGGCAGAATTAATGTCAGAATGTAGATTGTAAATGGGGGGGGGGGGGGGGGGGGTATTGACAGGGACATACATACACTATAAACTAAGGAAACGCGAAGACAGGTACCTACCTAGGTATGGAGATCCTTGATGAAAAAACCCGAGGGTGCCGTGATGACAGATGCAATGCAGGTACTACCAACACAGTCACAAAAAACCACGCACGCCCGCACACCGTACTACTCCGTCTTATAGCCATATGTTCTATCTTTCTAGAAGTCCCTTGGAAGCCTGGTGATCATATCATGTCATATCAAGAGAGGGACAGGAGTGAGTGACACCATGCATGCGGGGACCTTGTGGCATCAGGGTCTTGTCCACGAATCTTTTAGTCTTTCTTGCGATTAGAGCCCTGTTGATGAAGGACGAAGTGTGTGTCCATTCAGCAGTTCGTTCTCTTTAAACCCAGGAGCTTCGGGTTTGGACTGATACTCGTACCGCCGATACTTGATTGACAGTTCAATTGATGTATTAAGCACCTGAATCCCCTCTCAAAGCAAATGGCATAATGAGTAGCTCGTAGACCAGTGTCTTGACTGTACAATATGTAGAGAAAAGGGGGGCGGCAACTCGGCGACGACCTACTTAGCGCTAGATAGGTCCGAAGCACTTACAGTAGTTTGTGATAGGCATCCCGGCCAGACCTGGCGATAGGCACCAGGCACCAAACATGAACGGCAGTTCCCTAGCGCCGAATAAAAACACCGCAGAGAAGTAAGGAAGGAAGTGAAGAAGTGAAGGCAGGTCCCCGTTGGAGCCAACACTGACCGTCTTCTTTTCCACATGGCGGTCTTGGTTGGGCAACTTGGCGATGGCGCTGTACTTGGCGTGGGGGGTCCCCAAGGAGGAGGAGAGTGACACAGCCATGCTTGGCTTGAACCGCTTGGTCTGTTTGCTTTGCTTGGCTGGCGCGTGTGGCCATTTCTGGGATGTTTAAGTCTGGGCAGAGAATGGAAGGGTTCCTGTGAGATACGCGATGGGGGGCTTCAGTGTGGTGTTGTGATGCTGTGTGCTAACGAATGGGCAACGGGACGAGGGATGGGTCAACAGACTCAGAGGCCAAAGGGGTCGTGTAAAGGGTAAAGACAGTGGTCCCTCCGTATATCTGAGGGTGAAGCAATATTGAAGAATCGATATGCCATTCAATCAGACATCAAAGTGGTCAATGGAGTGCAGTGTCAACGCAGGCCAGCCCAATAATTGTTAGTATATTGTTAGCGCAGCACAACCGGCTTTGACCAAAGCGGAACTAGGACACGTGATATAGTGTGTGGTGGTATGCCACCAAATGTCAACCTGCGCCCCATCACGGACGCCACCAAGCGGTCGATTGTTATCAGTGGCTTGGGTTTATTGAAGAGATATTCGAGAACTGGTTCGAGGTGTGGTAGTTTTCTGGATGTAGGGATTGGGGGCAAGACAGAGCAGAATAGTGCCGCTGACGTTGAATTCGGCACAGGAATTGGCCTCAACTGTCAACCTTTGCCTCGTTCAACCGATGCTGATAATCTGGCCATTGGCGTTTCCTTTGTTCTTTGTGATTTGATGGTGGTGGGAGTTGACATCATGAAGTGTATCCCGGGAGGCGGAAGTGATGCTCGGGGTGTTCTTTGACCATGCCGCAATTCGGCGCAGACATGCCTTGGACGTTCCCAATTTGTCCCAAGTAGCACTTGAATATCGCCGATGTAGGGTCGAGATAGAGGTAAATGGTATCAACATCAGCTGTCGTCGACTTATGCTATCAGGGCGACTCCGTAATTGTGGACTTGGAGCAGTTATCGTGATCCACCGAGTTCCACCGAGTCCACCGAGTCCACTCTGTCCAGGCACCTAAGAGCAAGCGCCCGAGATAGGACAAGATAGCAATCCATGTTTTCACCTATCAGCCCGTGTCGGCCCGTGATAAGCAAAAAGCTTGGAAGGTCTTGTCGCACTCTTGGTGTTTGTTGGAAAGAGCGCTGGGCAAGTCTTGGGCAAGTCTTGGTCAAGTCTTGGTCAAGTCTTGGTCATGATCTTGGATGGAGGAAGGAGTTGGGAAGCCGAGTGGATCCAATTTCCCTTCCCCCGCATTTTGAGGTTGTTTGCGTCTGGGCTCGGAGTGGACACTGGACCTGCCAGTGACTCCACTATTGTGGTTGAGCACCAGGTGTCCAGTGGAGTCCCAAGACAGCGGCCACCAGGCACAGGTGCCAAGCAGCAGCCAAGAGCCGCATGCAATGAAACCAGCCACACTTCATCTCATCCAAGAAAACACCAAGACTCCAAGACCAAGCCTAAGCACTTGGCTTTTGCCCGGTCATCTTTGCCCCATTTCTCCATCTCGCCGTTTTCTGTCTTTTTTTTCTTCAATGGTGATCCCTCTCCAAGAAAAGGACCTCGATTGAGAACACCGTCGAGAATATGGACACAGAATAAACTCATCAATCTGCCGCTAAGCGATCAGCAAACACAAACACGCTTGCATAAAGAATCATCACGATGCCACCCGTGGGACATGTCAGGCACCCCCAATCCCAAGTTCCCAACACATCCACCGAGCTGTCGGATTCCTCAGTTGCAACACATGGTAGCAACAACAGTCCCCACATGTCTTTACCCCTTCTCTCAAGTGATACTGCGATTCTATATCGTGTCAACCAATGGTATGCTCGTCATTCCGTTAGTCTCACCTGTTAGTGTTCCTTAGCACCGGTGGGGACGGACATGGTCTCTATTTCCACCATCCATCATCACTTGTGGATATCACCATGCGCACAGAAGGGTCTGGGGGAGACCACGAGAGCAACGGGGACCAAGTGGACTCTTGGGTTGTGCTTCCCGTCCATTGCCTTGTGGTTCCACAGCATCTGGGCCCCCAAGCCTCATATCTCCCGTCCATCGCCGGTTTATCGCCTATCTCGGACGGACACCAATGATGTAGTCGAGTCCTATTCAGCAGTGAGCTCAATGACAGTCGAACCACTCTTCCTTTGTTCACTTACATTACACTACCTTCTCCGTCGGCGTCTGGTCTGGCTGGTTTACCCAAAGATCAGCGCTTATTTTCCTCCAGCTTGATCATCTCTCACTTTTCCAAGCCGGTGTTGATTCCCGATGCAGTTCTAGTTTAGTTCACCAGCTCACCCAGTTCCCCCTCCCTCCTTCCCCCCCGTTCATCAGCTGGGCGAGCTTGGGTAGACTTGGCCTATCATGTCCTTTCCGTTTCCGTCCTTAGCAGTATGAACTCCAACAAGCCAGTAGCCTAGGCCCGTCCAGCCACAACACCCCATTGGCTGCGGAACATAGATGAAATGGTGAGAGATGCATCTTTCTAGTTGCCTTCCATGCCAGATGGTATGGAAAACGGGGGCGACCTTTCTTGGTCCGGTTACTGCCCTGTGATAGTATCTGCATACTTCGACATCATCCTTGCCTCCTCTCAACTGTCTCTCTTATTGCACGTATAGGAGTGCTTGTATGTACACATTGTTATTTGTCCACAGATTGCAACCTGGCCGGGTCATATGAAATACACTTCCGTTGCGGATCACACTCCAACAACAACAACAAGGACATGGAGGGCTATGGACTGCCATGTGTTTGGCCTAACCTCCCCAAACCACCCCCCCTCGGGGCTACCCTATCTTCTTCAGACGACGCCTTTCCCATCTCGGGCTACCGTCCGAGAGGCTTTCCCTTCAAGCAGGGCCACCTCCGCAATCCAAGAAGCTTGGCTGTACCACCATCGCCACAAGGCCTACCCTCTATCTCTCTAGTCTTCCCGCAGAGGCAATTCTCCGCGCTGTCGCCTATCTGGCTCCTGATAGGATGTCTTCATTTGACCCCTATGTATGTGATTCTACATTGCCTTTGGGGTAGACACTCCCAGTCTCTCCAGGCAAGCCGAGGGTGAAGTGTTGGCAGTACTTTAACCTCTCTCTCCCTCCCCCCTCTTCCCCTTTCTCTCTCCCCACCTCCCTCCAACCCAATCATCCCAAAACCACACCATGTCTGACATAGAAAAAGGGTCAGCGGGCTCCCACGACAAGGAGACCCGCGTCGACGCGGCCACTCTTCCCGCCTATGAGGCCGGCAGCGTCGCCGAGGCGCAACAGGAGGACTTCATGACGCGCAACGGTCTCAACCTCGCCTCCTTCAAGCCCCGCCGGTTCCACACGGGCGACGGCACCGAGATCGAGCACACCATGAAGTCCCGCCACCTGCACATGATTGCCATTGGCGGCTCCATCGGCGCCGGTTTCTTTGTCGGGTCCGGCAAGGCGCTGCACAACGGCGGGCCGGCGTCGCTGCTGATTGATTTCGCCATCATCGGCGTCATGATGTTCAACGTCGTGTACGCCCTGGGTGAGCTGGCTGTCATGTTTCCTGTTACCGGTGGTTTCTATACCTACTCGACTCGCTTTATTGATCCGTCTTGGGGTTTCGCCATGGGTTGGAACTATGTCTTCCAGTGGGCGATTGTCTTGCCTTTGGAACTTACTGTGTGCGGGTTTACGGTCGGGTACTGGAATCAGGACATAAGTGTTGGTACGTAAACATACTCGTATTGGTTCATTTATAACAAAGATACTGACCGTAAAAACAGCCGTCTGGATCACCATCTTCCTCGTCGCCATCATCATCATCAACGTCTTCGGCACCCTCGGCTACGCCGAAGAGGAATTCTGGGCTTCGTCATTCAAGCTCGGCGCCACCATTGTCTTCCTCATCATCTGCCTCGTCATGGTCCTCGGCGGCGGTCCCAAAGGCAGCCGCTACGACCACTACACCGGCGCCGCCCTGTGGTACTCCCCCGGCGCCTTCGCCAACGGCTTTAGGGGGTTCTGCTCCTGCTTCGTCACCGCCGCTTTTGCCTTTTCGGGCACCGAACTCGTCGGTCTCGCTGCTGCCGAGGCCAAAAACCCCGTCAAGTCCCTCCCCGGCGCCATCAAGCAAGTCTTTTGGCGCATCACCCTCTTTTACATCCTCGGTCTCTTCTTCGTCGGCTTGCTCATCCCGTACGATGACGAGAACCTTCTGGGCGCTAACCCGTTCATCAATGTCAACGCCTCCCCCTTTGTGCTGGTGGGCAAGTACGCGAACCTGACGGGCTTCGACTCGTTCATGAATGTGGTTATTCTGGTGTCGGTCCTCTCGCTCGGTGTTTCTTGCGTCTATGGTGGCTCGCGCACCTTGACTGCCCTCGCTCAGCAGGGGTACGCGCCCAAGATCTTTACGTACGTTGATCGCTCCAACCGCCCGCTTTTCTCGGTGCTGGCCATCATTGCGTTTGGGCCTTTGGCCTATGTCAACTTGGCGGCTGCTGGTCCGACGGTGTTCGATTGGTTGCTTTCGCTTTCTGGGCTGGCGGCGCTGTTCACGTGGGGATCGATTTGCTTGAGCCATATTCGCTTTCGTAAGGCGTGGGCGCTCAAGGGACATAGTGTGGAGGAGATTCCTTTCCGCGCTGCGGGCGGTGTGTGGGGATCGTGGCTTGGGTTGGTGTTGGTTGTTTTGGTGTTGATTGCTCAGGTATGTTTTCTTTTTTTCTGTCGCTCGCTTCGCTCGATTTATCTCGTGACAGGTGCTAACAAGTGCAACAACAGTTCTACGTAGCCATCTGCCCTCCCGGCGGCGGCTTCAACACGGTCGAGGGCTTCTTTGTGCAGTACCTTGCCCTCCCTGTCGTCATCGTCTTTTGGATCGGCGGTTTCATCTGGAAGCGCACGAGCTGGCTCCGCGTTGACCAGATCGATGTTGATACGGGCCGTCGCGAACATGATTGGGAGTCGATCAATGCGTACCAAGCTGAGTTGGCGGCTATGCCTGCTTGGAAGAGGTGGTTCCATAAGTTGTTTGTCTAAAAGTTGCTGCTGTCACAGTAAAGAAGCAGTGCGGATGGATGACTGTGGATTGATTTTGTTTTTGTGTTTGTGTTGGATACCTAACTTATACCATTGTTGAGGCGAGAGAGAGAGAGAGAGAGAAAATGAAAAAGGGGAGGGAAGGGGGAACCTAATGAAAAGATGAAACTTGATGATTAAATCGATGTTAATGAAATGAAAAAGTCTATAAAGAAGTGTTGACCTGACCATATAACCAACAAACCATCCCATCCTAAACATTCCTGCCCTTCCTTTCTTTCCCTCCCTCCGTTTTTTTCTTTCTTTCTTTTTTTCCTTCTCTATTTTCGGCAATTGCATTCGATGCCCCTCGCGCCATGCCGGACGATAAACGAGGAAGCATGATCGCATGTTCAGGTGAGTAATCTACTGCTGCTGCTGCTGCTGCTGCTGCTGCTGCTGCTGCTGGTGGTGGTGGTGGTGGTGGTGGTGACAATGCTGAGGCAAATCCAACCGATGTCTACTGAGGTAAGGCGGGAATGTGATGAAACATGAATAAAGGGAGAAACAAAGTTGTGTAAAAGACGGGTCCTGTTATGAACGAGGTTTGTGATGAAGAAGTAACTGGATGTGTGAGTAGATGTGTTGGTGGGAGTGAGGACAGGAGGTATCGTCCTGGTCATGATGGAGCGTCCAGGAGCAGTTGGAGGGAGTCGGGACGTGGTATTGGGAGTGGGAGTGGGAGTGGGAGTGGGAGTGGGAGTGGGAGTGGGAGTGGGAGTGGGAGTGGACTTGCTGCAGGTGAAACAAGTGCTGTTAACTGACTAACATCAGAAAAGCCTACTACGTGTGTGTAGTAGATAGTGCTGTATCCGGTTTTGCAGAACCGCTAGCACGAAAGCGTACGTAGGTAGAAGGCAGCAAGCAGCTGTTAGCGCATCCCCGCGCCATCTTGCCCGCAGTACCTCTAGCAGAGGGTGCCGTAGGGCAGTGCACTGGATCGACTGCCGTGATTAGGTAGGTAGGTAGGTAGGTGACCAACGGCCGCGACGAAAGCCGAGCAGGCAATGGAAGAATTGATCGCGGACACTCGAGAGAATCAACACATTTTTCCATTATTTCCAGTGTAGAATATTTTGGACCTCGATTGGAAACTAGGGTGATTTCTTGCTTATAGTGATCAGTTTTCGTTTCATGTGTAGAAGGTTGAGGTAGAGCGATCCAAACGACAGGTGTCTGCTGTGCTGTGGTCGAACAAGCTGCCTGACGCTTTCAGTGGGTAGGCGCTGGAGTTGAGGCGCTAACAGTGGGATTTAGCGTGTACGTCTACTTAGATAGATAGTGGGTGAAGAGCGGCCGCGGCTGTCATACGAACTGGACATTATCGTCAACGCGTTCACGAGTTGCTTTCTTACTTGTAGCATCCAATAGACATATTCCCTGGCCGTTCCCTCCTCTTCCTTTTTTCTTCTATTTTATTTTATTCTTTTCCTTCACTTCCTTTGTTCCCCCATCCTGATATCCTAATCCCTCTTCGCAGCGCCATCAGTAGTCAGGTGAACGCACTTAACAATAACCACATGCGACGATCGGGCATTTTTTTTCGCTTGTACAGCATCGAACAATAGAGGTACCTATCACAGGACACCTTTCACGCAAGTATGCACCATCTCTATTTAGACACCGAACAATACGATTTTGCCCCGAAGCCCATCCAAGTAAGTAAGCACGCAAGGCTAAATAGTGGAGTTGTGATCTGTACACTACTTGCTACGGTGTCCCAATCCGGAAAGCACTGCGAATATTCCATGCATACACTACACTACACTACACTAGTCCAGCAGCATGTCGATCCCCCAGGTTTTTATGAATGAATGGTCAAAAGATCCGATCAACCGACCGACCGAACGGACGACAACAAAGGGGACAAATAATAATAATAATAAAATAATAACTGCGCCGCATCACATTACACATTGGAGGTAGGTATAGGTGCATATCTCCGAACGCCAGTGCGGGGGTTCTTCGTTATCTGCACATCATCCCTTCTTGGCTTTACCGAACATGGAACAAAGAAAAAAAGAAAAAAAGAAAACAGGTATGTAGTAGACTAGAGTAATTCGGCCAAGGCTTCCACCCACCCACCCACCCAAGGCAGAGAGTGAAACAGAGATTCATGCAAGGCTCAGACGCCCGCCCGCCCGCGCGCCGGAGGAACCTCAACCTACGGACTTCAAAGTCCGTTGTATATGCCCGGATTTATTCCTCACACATACACATGGTTGATTTCTTCAGGGAGGGGAGTAAATGTAGAGCATATATATATATATGTGACCGAAGTAGTGGATATTTAAGGACGTTTCATGTTCCACACTCTCTCTTCTGCTCGGTTTTTTTTGAACTCAAACGCCAAGTCAATGATACCATACATACACCAGATAATACCAACCAGCGAAAGAAGATACGACATGGGCATCTTTGACTACCTCCGCCCCAGGCGACAGAACGGCATACCTAGAAAAAATACCATGCCTTCAAATTCTCCAGAACTTCCCTCATACCAAAATGATGCCCTCGACAAGCGACACTCCAAACTCTCCTCCATGTCGCCCAACGCAGAGCAACCACAGCTTGAACCCAACACCAGACCAACAACAAGCTCAAGCTGGACCTCCATTTTAACCACCAACTCAGCCATAACCTCGACCTCAATCTCGACCTCGACCTCGACCTCCATCTTGACCCCCACCACAACCTCACACACAACAACTACCACCCCCCTCTCCCCCCCTCACTCAAACCACACCCTCAGCAACCACAACCTCAACAGACCACCCACCCCTCCCAACCGCCAACCACCACCGCCCTCCCCACCACCATCCCCACCACTACTGCCAACATCCGAATTCACTCTACATTTACCACCACCACCGCCGCCCCCCTACGCCCGCCTCTCCTCCCGAAGGACAGACCTCCCTTTACCGTCCTACGCAGAACTTGTCGAAGAGAGACAAATCGTCCCTCCTCGTCCACGACCACGTCCCACACCGCGAGAACCCCCGCCTTCTTTCGAGGCGGCGGAGATTCAGGAACACGACGAGTTACATGCGGATCCGTCTAGGTGGCCGGGGTGTGAGTACTGTCGGGTGTATGAGTTGTGGGTTTGTTATTGGAGGGGGGAGGGGGTGGGGGATGTGATGGGGTAGTTGGGTAAGTGGGTGATTGAGCAAGGGGAAAGGGGAAAGATTGCGGTTGGGAGTTACCTCTAGGGTGCAATGGGGTTAGGGAGCTGGGAAGTTGGGAAGTTCAAGAGTCAAATGAGGGGAAGGGGAAGTGACGGTTTGAATGGGGAGTATACCTGCCTTTAGCGATATTGTAGGGTGTGTGTGGGTAGACGTTATGGGTAGGCAGCTTGGGGGATTTGGGACTTTGGGATCAGATACCGGATTTGGCTGGCGGTTGGCTGGCGGTCGGAGGAGCTGGGAAGGGGAACGATCATGTAGATGCTCTATTTTCATTCCCACTTCCGGATTGTTGCTACCAGGTAGAAATAACTCAAGACCTCCCTGGCGCTGGTCATCTCATTGCTGTTCTGGGCGTTCGGTATAAGTCGCCCCGCCGACTCTCTGATTCCGAGCACGGGCTCCTCCTCCTCCTACCCCTACCCTCTCCCCCTGCTCCAGGCTTTCAACTACCATAGCGGTGAAATTCAGTCTGTGGACCTCGGAAGTCCGGATTCCTCTTCTTTTAGATCCAATTTTTACGTCTGAAAGTTCCCCCTTATTGTATATCCGCTCTGGACGTCCACAAGAGTTGCAAGAGGGGTATTCCGATCTGTCGTGCCACCCAATTTGCACGTTTAGACCGACTGTCTTTTTCAACCACCCATTGACGATCTTATTCTCGATATGATCGAATGTCTTCACCTTGCCAATACACGATTCACATCCTTCTCGAGCCTTCTCATCCATCATCAAGGTGTTTAAATCCTCGAAAACCGTTTCGGCTGATTTGGTATAGTCAGGGATGATTTGAGCAAGGCAGCTGCGGGTTTCATGCGATATCGAGAGTACCGCGTAGATATAATCTCTTGCGTCGGTGGCCATGATCTGGCTAGTGGCGCAAACATAAAGCCACTTCCGCAGGGTGTGCGAATTATTTTTTCCCCAGTAGAGCACAGTGTCCCAGAACTCAGCATTGTCAGGCTCGACCGCGGGTAGAGATTTCTCACTTGTTTTAAGAATGACCCAGAGACAATTAGCAATCGCATTCCCGCGTCTGGAGATGGACCTAGAACCGCACATGAAAACAAGCCTTTTCGCTAGGAAGAGTTCCTGGATGATCCATATCCTTTTCCAGTAGGGACGATTGCACCAAGCCAAAATGGCTGTCTTTGCTCGGTTGTTATTCAAAATTTCTGGGTAAAGTATTTTATCCTGAGGCACGGAATTGAGGATATCCATCGCATAGTCGCTGTCGTTTGCCATCGGTCCAGTCCAGGCAAGGACCTGCTCCGCACTTGAGAAGATCTTCCCCATCTTCTGGACTTGCTGGCTTTTCTCGGCATCGTCATTTTGGTTGATGCACAGTGCATCGATCCAAAGGAGCAGGAAGTCGAGGTAACGGATGACTGAACTGATCTGTTTGAGTGCCTCGGAAAGATTTTTGCGGATCCTGACCGTGTGGCCGTCAATGGTGATATTTGGGTCGTCATCACTAGGTAATCCCCATTCATACGACAGTGCTTGGTAGGGGATGTTGCCTAGCTCCGCATGTAAAAGGGAGTAGGTAGAGCTAACCTCTTCACCAGAGCTTGGTGTAATGAAGAGAAGACGGATGATATTTTCATGCTCGAGTTGTCGATACGGGTAACATTCGCCAGTTGTTTGGTCGGGGCCTGCATTGCTACTACAGGAGTTAGCTCTCAGTTTGTGTAAAGCGCGACAAGGCTCCATACCATGCCCCAACTGTCCTACCCACTTCATGGGCATCCATGATATACCTTTACGTCTCATCCGTTGATATTCATTGACCTGGGTTGTGTTGATGACGAGGAAAAGATTATGCCAAAGCAAAGATTTGTTGTTGACCTCTTGGTGACTTTGTGAAGTAAATGTGGTCGATGTCTTGGAGTTATCATGTCATGAAAACAAGCGACGGAAGGGAAAGACCAACAGCAGCTGTTATATCGACCTGGTGAGAGGCTCCCTGCCCAGCCACACCTCGAAGGCAGTGCTGCATGACGTGGCGGTTAACCAACCAAAACGGCGTGGTCCGATGAGAGGGAAAATGCCTGATTGGTGGATTGGTTGATAAGGGACGAAAGGCTTGCAGACTAAGAATGGAAATCGAGGTGGGATGGATATTCCGTCGTGATACAACGTGAGACTGTGGTTGTTGGCAAACGGTGGTTGAGGTGGTCTTGTGTCGATGTTCGCCGAAGAATGAATAGATACCTGCTACATGTGGACATTACTGAAACTTCAGTCCGGCGCAACTACAAAGACATGTCGTTGCTGCTTGCCAAGAACTCCATGATCTCGCATAAGACCGTTCGAACCGACGTATCGATAACCGGTATGATGGCAAGGAGTCCGTTAGCGCAGTCCCAGAAAAGCGTTAGAAAACCGTATAAGTGATCCCGGGGTTCCGTAGCTTCGACGTCCGACTGGGAACAGATCGATAGGAATCGATTCAGGGCGTTGAACCACAAGAACCCAAAGGATTTTGTATGGATATGCCAGACCGCCGGGCGCCGAGGGCTCAAAACACTGACTCTGTTACCCCCGGATGTGTAACGCTCTCCTTCCAGTGTTGTGATTTGCTGGTCAGACTCAGAGATATCTGAATCCAAAGAGCCAATTATCGAGATCACTCTTCGAGCCCTTTGTCACCTCGCATCTCTTCGAATGCTCCGAATCCAGCAGGGCGACACCTTCCTCGCGTGAAAGACCCATTTTGAGCGCAAGTTTTAGCAACCAGAGTCTGTGCTTCATCAATGAAGGGCCTGCCTCAAAGGATTGTAAAAACTGACAGTAAGCTTCCGCAACTGTCTTGTCGTAGTCCACTATGATTTGGGCCCTGTCAATATCTGGTTTGTCCATGTCCAAGACGGCGTCAGAAGAGATGGAGAGTAGCGCATAGATATAATCATGCGGGACGGTAGCTTGAAAATTGCCAACAAGGATGACACGAAGCCATCGAACTAACGAGTAGGCCTCCTTATTCCACGTTGAAGCGACTATCGCCTTTGCCGCGCTCCGGTCGATGCTATCATGGGGGATTGGTGTGCGTGCGAGGCGGGCCAGAGCCTCGTCAAACGACTCTGATGCGATGGACTCAGGACCACACATGACCATGTACTTTTGAGCCAGGAATAATTCCTGCAGTATCCAGACTCTGCGCCAGTAAGTACGTTCACAAAGTGACGCAATCGAAACTATCAGGCTGTCCGTAAGGCCCTCTTTTTGCCCTAGTTCGGACGGCTTTCCGCATGACATGCTCAGAATTCTCACCATTCTCAGCGCATCATTACTACCGTCTCTGGGCAACCCTATCCAGGAAAGCACCAGTTTGGCAGAGCTGAAGATGATACCCATCCTCCCAACTTGGCTACTTTTCTCTTTGTTGTCGTCTGTGGTTGATGCAGAGGGCGTCAATCCACAGTCGGGGTGGGTTATGTTTCGCCCAGAAGCTGCTATCCCCCAGATTAGTCCATGGAAATGATGCTTTTTCATAGCAGTCCTCCTCAGACCCGTCCTCCCAAAGCCAGACTCCCTCAAACAAGCTCTCCTCAGACCAGTCTCTACAACTCCAAGTATCCACGAAAGGGCCACGGTGGCGATCCAACGGGAAGTATGGAAAGGATTCGTCGTGGTCTTCTAGCACGCGCTCATCCACAGCCGTGGCTCCACAATGGTGCTTCCGGTAATACGAATAATGTTCGAAGATCTGCCTTATAGCGTCGTGGAGATTTTTCCGGATTTGAACTTGGCGATTGTTGACAAGAATTATTGGATCATCCGGCTCCGCTTGGCCCCATTCGTAGGATAGCCCAATGTACTCCTCAGATGTTGTTGAGAGATGCATTTCCAGCGACAACGTATCGCCCTCATAAGAGCTCGGTTCCCTGAGTGTCAATAAACGGATGGCATTCCCGCCCTCTTCTGTAAGGGGCAGGATCGCTGGGGGAAGTTCGTCTTCGCCCTGGTCTTCACCAATTCTGGTTGTTTGTCAGTTGAGAGTCAACATACCCTCGACAGGAATAGAGACGGATTCATATTCACCGCCATTGACTGGGGTGTAGAATGAAGTGATTTCGAACATACGTATAGTAGCTGAGGGGCGGCATATCTTGAGACACCCGATATGGCTCGTTGTTCGTTCACGACACTGTTGCAGGCAGCCAAGTGTTTACGTCGTCCGAAGGTTCGAATTGTCAAGCGATGGCCTGGAAGATATCGATTTTGTGCCTTTATCTGAGAGAGTTTGTCAGAACGAGCTCCATATAACAGGCTCAATACAGTGGCCGACGCAAACTGCAATAGAAAGATCGAGAACGTACCCCAGATGGTCTTTAAGACGACTTCGGCTCCTCAAAAGTCACACCTTGCTTGCTACGGTAGACTAAGAACAGCCCGAGCTTGTAAAGTTCACGGTTGAGCTTTGGACTTGGTCATTCCCTCCGAGCAGTATCGTTGTTGTATGAAGCTGGGAGTAGAGTATAGCGTAGGTTGTTGGGCATCAAGGCCAGCCGATGGGTTTGCGTACTTTATTGAGTTCAGCCGCTCCTTGCTGTCTTAGGCTCAATCACTAGGCAGTTATTTTAGCCATCTGTAGGACGAGTACAAGTAGCTCTCATTGACAATAAGCGAAGAGCCCTCTTCCGGGCAATTCTTATGTTCCTTCTGTTTGAAACATCAACCAATCACGCCCTTTCTCGATGCTCTCAGCCACAATGGACGGCATCCAGTCAGGAAAGAGTGTGTCACATGTTCATTTGTGTGGCCGCTGATGATGGCCCTCGGATTGGACAGTGGGCTATTTGTGGCTTTGTCGAGGGGACTTCGGGGCTGAGCAGTAGTAAGATGCGCCGAGCATCATTCTGGTGTATCGATGATCCGAACGGCGTTCTCTAGGGCAATTCCGATAACAGCCGGGCAACGAAAAAGTCTTCGAACGGCTGAACTCCGAAGCGATAATGGTAGGCCACTGCTTTCCATTGGACATATGAGTATGTGACTTGTCGGTTGACACATCAGCCGTCGGCAGTTCTTTAGCTGAAGAAAGACAAGCTTTGGCCGACTCTCGTAGAAGGGTATCCTGCTGTGGTTGCTCGATTGCTTTTTCCCGTCCTTGTGATCCATCGATCTTGTGGTATCATTCGAGGATAGAGCGCCTGAATCGTCGGTTCTTCCCCAGGTTTGACGTGGGTAAGCATGCGATGACATCTGGCAAAAGAGAGAGATAGTTAGTAAGGGTTCAATTCGAAACGAGGAGGTCCAGATCATAAAGGCGACAAACCAGCCAAAACTCGAGGAGGATTGCTCTGCCATTCTCTGTGTCCGTGTTGGGCGGAGAGAGATCAAGAGACATTCAAGATCGCTTTGATGGAAATCGGACTGAATGGGATTGGGGGTATTCGTGGGATATCGAAGCCGTTTGGAATTCCCTTGTGTCGGGTCAAAATTGATTGCCGTTGGGTTGATCATTTAGTTGGAGAAGGAAAACGAGGGGGCTCGTGCAAGTACAAAGTCCGTCTTGCAGCGGAGGCAAGGCTCGCCTGCCGGTTGTGCATCCGTTTGGTTTGCTTCGCCATGGCCATCAACCTGGATTGCGCAACCGTTTGCGCAGTCGCTTCTTCCAGCTTCAAGTGAGCTAATTACTACCAGCTTCCCTCTTAACATGGATGCCACCGACCAAAATGAGAGAAGCGAGATCGCTCGATACCATACAGAACAAAAATGACGGCATTAGGTATTGGTAAACGCGAGCGAGCCCATTAAGTATACAGATGTAATTACAGACGAATACCATCCGAGTCCAAAAGCTACTTGAAAGTGAAAGCCCAAAGGAAAGCTTTCCATCATCAACTCATCATCATAAGACAACCAAGCAAGCAAATAAACACACAACAAAAAAGGCGCCCAATCAGAACTCCCGTTCCCATCCGCTTCAAACCTCTTCAACCAGAACCCCTCCAACAAACTCCCATCGGCTATATCGAATCCCTATTCCTCCCCTTTTCTTCCCATTCCTTCCCTCTCCTTCACCACTCACTCATCATCAACATACTGACAATGATGCGCCACCAACACCCAATCCGCCCCCGCCGTCTGCCTCCAACTACTACTCACACTAGCCACCACCTCCCTCGTCCCCTTGCCCTTTTTATCAACCGTATACAAACTAACCTTGTACACCAACGCCACAGCCATCAAATCAATCTCCACCACCAGCGGATCTCCATGGAACCGGAACCCAGCCCACGGTTCCGCCTTTTCAAACACCTCTAGTATGTTCGGCTCGCTGTCTTTCGATAGCGGGGTGGTGGAGGGGTGCGACGACAAGAGAGGGTTGATGAGGATGCAGTCCTCGGCCATGTATTCCGGGGCGGCGGAGGGGTCGTCGCATAGGCAGCGCCAGAAGAGGGTCTCGATTTCTTTGGCGGCGTGGTGGTTGCGTTTGGAAATGGTGTCGAGGCGGGAGCCGCCGTTGGGCTTTTTGAGGTCTTGGTTGCCGAGGGTGGTGGTGGTTTTGGAGGAGGAGTCGGTGGTTAGGCCCATGACTGTTGGCATTTTTTTTTTTTTTCTGTTTGGTTTGTTATTGATGTTGACTTTGGGAGGAGTAGCAGTCCGTTGTCGTCGTTGTGATTCGAGGAGGTGAGGTGCTGAACGTGATTGGTCGTCGTGGTGTATAAGTGCCGTTAAGGGATTATACGTCGTTCCCCGCGTATGCACTAACAGCTGTCTTGTAATGCTGTGTTTGCTTCCTTGTCAATTCGACCTTGAGGAGAAAAAGAAGAAAAGAAAAAAAGGGAAGAAAAACCCAAAAGGACCCTGAAGATCCGGCGAGAACCCCCATTGATGTTATATTCATTCCCCCTCACTACCATACTTGCGCAAATGCTTACGCGAAACAAGGAAACTCGCAATAATGATGTTGGTTCTTGTCAATGCCCGTTGATGATCTGTTTATGCGATACTTATCCCAACTCACCAATGAGGTTCCATGCGCATCCCGATAACATGGCATGTCATACCTTGACGTCACCGACCGGCCTGCGCTCATCACCCCCAGACCTACCCCCTTCTTTTCCCAACACCACTAACTAACATCAATGAGCATGCACGGAAATAGTAGGCTGAGTACCTAGGTCCGCAATCCACACTTCATCAACTTTTTGCACATCCTTTTCCTTTCCTGGTGACAGCTGGGATTCTCAAAGTCAGGGTCGACCGTTGGGAAAAAAAGGACCCCTAAATTCAGGTTCTTTCCTGCTTGTTTTTTTACTATGGCAGTCATGGAAATCCATAAACCACCCAATGCACACAAGCCCGTCGGCCGATGACACAATGACACAATTACACAATAACACAATGGCAACAGACATACATAGGTTATTACTTTATGCATGCAGCGAACTCGGGCACGTCGTCGAATTTGCGTAGTGAACATCGGCACCTACACTAGTATAGTGTAGTCTAGTTCCCGGCTCCCGCCGCCGCCGCCGTTTCGGAGAATTTCGAAGACAGAAGAACAGGGCAAAATCGAGCTACGTAAGGGGTAAGGAAACTGAACCCCCTTTTTGAGGTATCTTGCCACTTAGTACCCTGCCTTGCCCTTCTACCCTCGGTTCACTTAAGTTGTTCAGGACCCCGGCCTTAGAACTATAGTTCCCGTCCCGTCAGTCCGCCCGCCCGCCCGCCCTCTGTCCCCTTTAACCTTCAACTACAAAAAAAAAAAAACATGAAAAAAAACAAAAAAGCCAAGAACCACCGACCAAAAGCAGGATTTCGCTTCCATTTTCCCCATCTTCCACTGTTAATAATCCAGACCATACAGAAAAACATAACTTCACTACCTACTTACTATTCGTTGTGTAAATACGCTACTTACTCAACGTTCAACTTCAGCTTATGCAATATATCGAAGCGTTTGCCATCATCCAATGGGACGGACGGACGGACTTGGCTGTATAGAGTATATAGCTTCGCTGTTAGGAATTAATGCTCTAGCGGTATATAGTATACTGTATATAAGCAGGTGATGAAGAGGATGTCAGAAACGTCATGTGTGGATAAATGAGATCCGTCTTGTCTTGTCTTTTGGCTTAATCTTGATAGTTCACTCAGCTCACGTGCAACCACTTCTATCACTTCCATCACCGTGTAAACTCGCTACGTATGTAGTCTTCTCTTAAAATCCCAAAAGCAGAATACCGCTAACCGAAGCCAACCGAAACCACCGAC